CCAAAGTATCTAACAAGTGTCGACCCTCCAAGTAATCCAGCTAAAGTCGTTATGATTTGTCATAAACATAAAATAAATGGCCAAATATTTATAGTCTCTGTTGAAGTCATTGCTATTGTTGTTGTTGTTGTTGGCATTTTTGTGAGGGTTCAACAGAGTTGCCAATAAGTATAAACAGTGGCCAAGCTCTGGCACTCGACACAAGGGAAAAGTCAAAAAGGAAGGACGAACACTCTTCACAGTTTATTTTAAGAGACGGGCTTAGGGACACGAGTTTATGGGTTAATATTAACCCTCCTTAGACTGTAATGCTTACCATGATGCTGCTGCTGTTGCTGGTGATCCCTGCCACGTGCTGTGGACGACGCGTGATGATCCTGCGAGTTCCATAGGCTCGAGGTGGCACCCACATAGACATTGTTCAGAGCAGACGACTGCTGATCCATTGTTTTGGTTTTTGTGCGTTGCGCCTTGTTGTTGTACTGCTGGTTGTTATGCGCATTGTTATTGTAGTTGTATGGGTTGTTGTTGTTGGTATTCTGATTGCTGTTGCTGCTGTAGCGTTGCTCTGTGAATAGTCCAGGCGGAAAGGGGAGGGAGAGATCGAAAGCGTTTAATAGATAGGGGTATATATTCATAAGAAACTTACCTTTGTTGTACTTGACAACAACAACAGGTACAGTATTAAGTGATACAGTTGGTGCCATGGTGGTGATGGTGGTTGTTTGTGGTATGTCTGTGGGGTGAAAATCAAAATCGATGAGATGGTTCATTATATTTTCAACTACAATCGAACGCAATTGTAGTTGACGAAGTGTTTTGGAAGCAGAAAAAAACTACTTCGTGATTTATAAAAAATAGTCTTGTGTAAGATTGAAGAAAAATGTGTGAATAATAAAAGAAATTATCATTAATGTTGTAACCAAAACAACACTTCAGTTCTTTCGCAGGCGGCTGGGAACCATTTCAGTCATAGACTTTGTCGAAATGGAGAATACTTTCCAGAGCTTAGCAGCTATGCAGGTTATAGTCACAATCTAGCCAAAGGCTGTGTTAATTTAGTTTCTGTGCATAGGGTGCTGGTCTGTGGAAAGGACCAAGTAATTCGCATATAAACAGCAATGGCTAAGAAAAAGTGTCTATTCTTTAGTCTCTTCGGAAAATATTCATGAAGCTACTCAACAACAAATAAATGAAATACAAAAAAAAAAAAACAACATGGAATCCTTTAAATTATTCCTAATTTACTGAAAATATGAAAACCACTGATTTCGTATTCTACACTCTTTTAAGGCTTCTTGCTTAATTTAATACTTAAATAAATAATATTGATTGCATAGTGTTACTTTCAATACCTTTTAAGAAACTCTATTTGAAGAAAGAACATAATCAAAATTCACCACGTATTCAATTAATAAAAACAGATTTAAAAATTTGTTATTAAAAAGCTTTAACTACAAGTAAGTATTTGTTAAAAGCCCGTTTAATAGTTGTAACTATCGCAACACTGACCGATTGGATAAACGGACAATTTAGCGCTCAAAAGTATGATTCATTTCCTGTAGAAACATGCTTACGCACCACATATGTCTGTGGATATCGCACATAAGTCAATGTAAGGCCATGTAGACAAAAAGGCAAGCACATAAATCAATCACTGACCATTTCAGGCAACCCCTTTTGACCTGAAACAGCCAAAGGCTCACTCTCACACGACCCCCATCTTCACCCTCGTTCTCAATAGCCGCCTCAGGGTATTTATTATGCACATTGTTGCCTTCCATTGACTTAAATTAATTAGAGGCGACAGTTAGGCAAATAGTTAGAGCCTAATTGCCGGCGGCTGTTATTGCCCAGCAGCCCGGCTGACTTATGGCAATTGTTGTTAACGGTTACGGTTATTGTAATAGTTCTGTTGCTGTTGCTGTGGCTGCTGGTGTTGTTGTTACAATAAGTTAAGACAATACTTACGATACAATTTGATCGCACCATCTGTGTCGCCGAGCGAGTTCTTGGCCACACAACGATAAGCGCCAAAGTCCTGTATATCAACGTCATAGATGGTCAGTCGCATGGTTATTTTATAGCCGGACTCGAAGGTTTCGGGCACGAAGCGCTCACCTGTGTGGGATGACAAGCAATAGAGAGGCAAGATATTTGGTAATTGTCTTGTGTGGGTGGAAATTGCGACAGACATGCCTCCTTTAAATGACAAAGTCAACAAGCATCTAACAATCTGAATGACTAAACGACTGCTGCAACAGCCCTGCCTCAACGTATTTACACTTTGTCCAACCTGGGCAAAGTAATTTAACTAACAAAAGTTTTGCATTTGCTGGCCCGACTTGCTGGCATCTGAAGCCAGAGATTTTGTCTTTGTCTTTATATCTGTCTTGGGGTCGTTGTCCCATGTCAAATGGTTCATTTTAATTTATACAAAAACAAGTCTCAACTTACTGGCCCCACTGCCGTGGTTTTGTTTGTTTTGCATGTTTTGATTTACGTTTGATGTCGGTTAGATTTAGTAACCGTAGCCAGCTACTAAGCTGGGCATCCATTTGTGCTCTACACCGGGGTCTAGTTGGGTAATTGTTATGCATGTCGAGCAGCTAGCCGACTACTGATTAGTTTACCGAAATGAGTCTGTTATCTACCTATATGGTACGGGGAGGTGCAAAATTAAAGTTAGTTTGACGAACATATGAGCTCCTGCATGAGGGCAACGTTGTTGCTAAAAACAATTAGCCACAAAAAAGATCATCACAACTTTAGAACAAAAACTAATTTTAAATGCTTTATCTTGATTACATTTAAATGTATTTATCAGCATAATTTGAAAGATTGCTCCCCTAGGCAGCAACAGCCTAACTAAACTGTACTTAAATTTGAGATTCAAAAATAAGCGTAAGAACTAGAGTACACTCTGAAGCCATTACCTAGAACTATTTACTGCAATTCAGAACTCAATATACAACAATAATACTCCGGAGGCCACAGCTTGCAAGATAAAGAAAATGGAAGGGCTTTCAATTTTATATTCAACTAATCATTTCCTGTAAGCCTTTGCGTGAAAAAACAATTATTTAAGCATTGAGAGACCAGGAAAAGCAGTAGCTGCTGCCTAGAAAAAGAATTTTATAGCCAACTTAGTTCGAACCTAATATCGAGCGTTGTGCCCAGCAAGCATAATCGATTTAAGTAGCCTTGCACTAAGCCTCATCACAACTTTGCCATCCGCTTATGGAAATCCACGCACTCTAATAGAGAACAAAAAGTGTCCATTAGAAGTGCACGTAAGTGGAGAAGCTCCCTGCCTGACTGCCTGACTGCCTGCCCGCCTACTTGCCGGGCTGGTCGAAAGAGCGACAGCCCGACAACTGCTTTTGACTTGAGGTCATTTTCAATCAGTTTTCCCATTTTCTGTCACGACTCAACAAAAAAGAGAGACTTGCAAATAACTAGAAAAAAGAACGAGCAGAAAAGTAAAAAGACCGGACTACATGGCATGTCTGTGACTTTTTCAGGGCGCTTTCTGGCTCGACAAAACGAATGAGCCTGGGCATGGATCTGAAAGTGTGGGCGACTGCACTGCGGTTTTGAGTGCTCTGCTACTGTTGTTGTACTGGTTGTTGTTCTGGTCAGAAAAGCGATGTGCAGTTCATTTGCTGGACCTGGCGAGTGCAGAGCTGAGTGCCGTATGAATGGTTGGTTGGTTGGTTGGTTGGTCAGTCAGTTTTTAATGGCGTCGTCGCTCACAAACAACGACATGTACTCGTAAAACAAAGCTTAGCAAATGAAGTTGCAAATTTTTACAGTTTACAGTAATCAAGCGCATATCTAAGATGACGTACGAGTTTGTAGAATGGGCAACAATTGCCTTCTCTTCTGAGATTGAATCTATAGTTAACGTTGCTAGTGGAGCTTCATGCTTGGCAAGCATTAGTTTTTTCTGATTAGGCTAATACTTGTATACTTGTATATTACATACAACTGCTTAGTTTTTGCTTTTTTGTGGCCATGCGATATCAGACACTATAATTGATACACTGAAGGTGGGTTTGAAAGAGGAAGAAATCAACCACAGTGGTAGAATTCTAGAAACATATAAAGAAATAAATGAATAAATAAAACTGCGAGTTGTTGGGAAAATATTTAATAGTGAAGCTTCCATTACCATGCCTTAGACATTAGGTTGGAACTAAAGACTGTGCAAAAAAGACACACTCTGAATACCTCATTAGCTACACTTCATACTTTCAAATTTACTTCTATTTACAATATAAGTGTATCATCATAAGAGTAAAATAAATCACAGATTAATGTCTTACACCTAGGCTGCCAAATTGTATAACTTCGAGTTTTGATTGATATTTTTTTTTTTTTTCAACATTTCAAGTTAAATTAGGTCTAGATTTTTCTATAATATTAGACCTTTTTAAAATTTTTATATTTTATTGTCGCAAATCCTTCAAGCAATTTGTCCAAATTTATTTTGAATTTCTGCTTGTTGCTCGATTTGTACTCACCCGGCACAATAATCGTATCGTTCTTCATCCAATAGTTGATGGACTTGGGATACGCTTCAGACTGACACTCTAATGTTATGTTCTGTGCCAGCGCGGCGCCAACTAATTGATTTTGTATCCAAATCATTGGCGGAACTGCAAAGAGGAAACAGAGCGCAATGAAAATGTTTATCCGACCAATTTGTAAGTATGCATATACTATAGTGGCATGGGAACTGTAATTGCCGGCTGATAAATGGGTTAAGTATTGCTAATGTGTACAGTAGATTAACCCCTCGGAAATATAGCTGCTGCTCTGCTCATGCTGTGATTAATCATGGCTATATTTTATTTTTTGCGCGTCGGATAATTGCTTTTTAATTTTATTTGAAACCACACATGGCGTTCATATGTAACCGATCAGCTTTGGAAGCTGATTATAATGAGTGTGCAGGTAGCATGAGAACAACAATAAAGCCAATGAAAGCCTTCAGGTAAGATTTATTTAACTTTATTACCTCTGCTTTTTTGTAATCGACTAACGAACCCAAAGCCGCTTTATTTATTATGAAAACAAAAACAGCCGGAGTTGAGTGAAGCCGATTTTAACTTATACAATAACTACAATTATTATTTAAAGGCGCGTTAAGCATAAGTAATGTTTTTTGCCAAAAACTGTATCTAAAATTTAAATATGAATTATATATATATGTGTTTTTTTGCTTGCCAGCATATCGGTTAAAATTCATCAATCAATGTATATGATGCCTACACTTCATCCAACCTCAACTCCAATACATTGAGTAATTTCATAAGGAATACATTTCCTGAATTATGAATACGTATAGCAGTTATAATTATGTTCCTTTGCCATATATTTTATAACCATTCGTTCTTCAATAATGTGTATTTAACAAGTCATTATTTTAAGAAAAAAATTTAAAAGCTAGCTTTGATTTCCTCCCCCATCTCAGGCATGCGATGAGTATTTGCTTTATAAAAATGTTTACCTTGGCAGCTAATATTTTTTCAAGTAAAGTGAAAAGCTGGTACTAATTGCTTTCTTTTATTTTTATATATTTGTTGACTATTTGTCTAACATTTGCCACGCAGTATTTTCGTCCAAGGAACTAATATTCTGGCTTCACTCAACATGCGAAACATTGTTGAAATGCTCATCGTTCTTCTGCCTCAATTTGGTTATAAGGATATACTTATTTAAGTCAAATAGCTCAATCTGCACTTCGACGGCTAAATTAAGTTATCTTCATTTAGTCTTCTAAGCTACAACTACCAAATATTTACGAGTATGCATGCCGCAGCGTTGCCGCAAGGCTCAAAATAATTTGGCATACTTTGGCCGCATAGTGAGCTGCAAAACTCTAAACTTTTCATGCAGCTTAAATTTTTATTTAATTAGCAGCAAAGTAAAACGCCAGGACATGTGTGTGTGTGTGTATGTGTGTTGTGTGTGTGTGTGCTAAAAATGCTAACTACCTGAGGCTGACTTAATTATTTATTTTATGCATAGCACCTAAAAGTGTGCAGCTGCAACAAAAATATTATAAAAAGGGGAAATCAACGTGCAAAGCAGAGACGTTCTCTTCCGCCGTCGCTCTTCAAAAATTAAAATGCAGAGCATATTTTCTATGGCAAGATCTGAAGTGACGCTTTGTGTGAGTCCTGTCCGTACATATGTATACTCGTTATATACCCGTTCATACATATACTTGTAGTTATGTGTAGATGTTTGGTTGTCTGAGCAGAGCTGTAACACTGTCTGGTCTGGTTTGGTCTGCGGCACATTGCTCATACACCATGGCAGACACGGATACAGACACAGATTCAGTCACAGATACAGATACAGACACAGTCACAGAAACAGAAGCAGACGCCATGCGGTGCGCTAGCGTAAAACTATAAATATTTAAATATGCAAAATTGATGCACACTCCAGCATTTCAGAGTTCCAGCATTTCGGTATTACGGCATTCCCTTTTACATTTTGATCATACTTACAATGGACAATGAGCATAACGCGTTTGCTAACTGTTGGCGGTATGCCATTCGAGGCAATGCACAGATAGGCGCCCATATTTAAGCGATTCACTTTGGCGATGGTCAGAAAGGAGCCGTTGTAGGCCACAGCTAGGAGGAGGAGGGGAGAAATAGAGATAAAGAATTAGATAGAAAAAGCAGATATGTATTTAAATGAGCATCTAAACCATTTCAGAGTTACTACAAAATCTATGATTTAAGCATGTTAATTGTAGGTTTTATAGACACCCATTCAGCACAACTTTGCGGCAGCTTATCACAAAGCTAACACAGCTCACAAAGTTTGTTTCACACATACATACATGTAAGTATATCACACACAGACTGCTGACGGACGGACAGACACATAGTCAAATCTTGTGGCATTGCTCAACTTCCACATCGTTCATGTTATCCTCATCACCATGCCGCCAGCTTGCGAGAATTCCAATTGCAAATTTCATATACGAGTCTGTATGCAAGGAAGAAACTTACTCTCAGGGCTCCTTCTAGCCTGCTGCTGTCAAAATTTCGATGCGTTTTTTTCTCTTTCTGCCTGCACTTCCGGCGTCTTCCCTTCTCCCTTCCTGCCAGCATCTCCACCTCTATCGGCTGGAACGGAATAATGGCAATGAAAATTTCATTGCCTGCTTGCTACCAAATCGAATGTGATTTGGTGTTGCTTTTTGACATCAACTCTGGCTTTCTTAGCAACACAGCCGAAAGCCATAATTCCATTGCAGACACTGTCCCATAATTGGCTCTTGTTAAAGCAACAGGTAGCTGACTTGAACTTTGAGTTTGGAAAGGGCGATTGGATTACACCAGCAAGCAACCCGACTTTGGGTTTGGGATTAATGGTATATCTTTGAAGCAGGATTTGCTTCTAAGTAGACTGTACTTTGTATCCGTAGATTTTGTGCAAACAGTAGATAATGCCAACTTACACTACTTAATTCCAAAAATGAATGTATTTTGCGCTCTAAATCGGAGCAGGATACTCAATGCTATTGAGGCATAGTAATGTGCCATTAACCCAATTGGCAAGTACAAGCAGTAAATGGCGCAGAGCACGAGCCATTTTATAGGCCAAATTATAGACCAGCGCCTATTCTGATTAGCACAGCTGTTGCGGCCTCTTTTAACACCAACCCAACCAGCACACACTCACAGTTAATTGCAAGCACTCAAACTCTGGCTTTAAAATACATTTTTGTTTCGCAATGAAATTTAATGCAAGTCGAACACGAACGTTCGCGAGGCGTGGGGGGCGGGGGAGGGCAAACATCGTGCCAAATAATTTACATGGCAACGCCACGGCCCCAACCATTTGTCATGCACACAGCGTGCAAATACAAACAAACAAACACACACACACACACACATAAATATTTATATATTTATATTATGTATACATATAGTAAGAGTGAGAGAGACTTGCCCGAGTGTGTGTGTATTGACACCCACACATGTAAACTTACCCTCAGCGCCATTTGGCAATGGAATCAGTTCGCCTCCTTCGCGTCGCCAGGTTATCGTCGGGGTGGGGGAGCCGGTGGCCGCGCATTTCAGTGTAACATTTGAGCCCTCACGTATGACCATATCGGTACTGGTGGGATAATCGAGTATATCTGGTGGCACTGCACACACACATACAGCCACACGCACACACACATGTGTAAACGCAGTTGTTGTAACAGTTACAAGTGCATATTATTCATACGCCGCGTGTGCCAAGCGGCAGGTGTCAGCAGATGGCAGATCGCAGTGAGCAAAACGGCAATTGTTCGCAGCATAGGTGTTGTTGTTGTTATTGTTGTTGGCATCATTGGTATTGTTATGGTAGGTTGGCAAGTTGTTGCGGATGGTAGTTGTTGTTGTTGTTGTTTTCGTAGTTGCCGGCATGTCATGTAAATGTAAACAAGCAAAAAGAATTTTTTACTCTGCTTTAGACTTTTTAAACAATTACTGACTAAATGCCACACAAAAATGTTGATAATGATCAACAGTTTTTATGGCTAGAGTACGAATTTCATACCACAAATTTGCTAAATTGAGCCAGTAACGTTTTCTTTTATTGCCCACTCTTTTCAATTTATGTTTTTTGCGGTTTTTTTTAAAGGGGTTTTTTTTTTAAATTTATGTACACGTATGTATGACGTGCCAATCATCGAGCAAGCTATTGCTTTCTAGAAAATAGAGTTTCTGACCTTGCAGCTTCTATTCTGCGTAACCTTTCGGATTCAAATTGGATGAAATATCTTTTTGGGATCTGTTTTTTTATTCATATCTATGCAATACTTTTAAGCATTGCTAATCATTTTTATAACAAACTAAAAATACTTTCAAGAAACTATATACTATAAATGAAAATAAATTAATAAAGTATGTCATAATATATACTCATAAGCTTTAAATGACCCGAAATAAGCGAGCGAATATTAGGGAAAATAAGCAACAACGAAAATGTTCAACTTGAAGAGTTTACAAAGTTTATTATCTAGGTAATTGCAATTTGGCAAATGAAGAAAGCGATTACAAGATGTTTATGCACAAGAGTTGTTGTTCGTAGATGGCAAGCCAAGCTTCTCCGCACCAAGCACGATTGCGAAAAAATGTTTGAACCGAAATAACAGAGTTAGACATAAAATCAAATATTATAGTGTATATGTAAACTAAGATGTGGGGCTATTCAACATGAAAATTGAATTAGTATCTACAGTTGCTTTAAAATAGTTTATTAAGAAACATTCAGAAACTGTAGAAGTAGGTTTCCAAACACTATTCAATTCACTCTCATTTGAAATGCCCCAAATGCTCAATTCAATTATACTCATAACTCTGCTCAACGCTATTATTTTTTACTTTCAGAATATATAATGTATTATTTCATGCCATTTCATAACTTATCCAACTCATGGCCTGAAAAAATGCAAGCAATTTGCTTTTCAGTTGCCGTTTTGAACATAATGACAAAATGCCAGCGACCCCTTGGCGAGCAATATTACCCCTCATTTGTCCCAAAACACCGCACACACACACACATACACATTCTCAGTGCTTTATTGCCTTTTGTGATTGAAACATGACGTGCTGAACCATTACAAGCAAGTCAACAAGGCTCTACCTTCTCTATAGCCAACATCTTGTATAACATGGCGTATACGTAATGTGAGTAACAGAGCTTGTGTGTGTGTGTTTGTGTTGTTGTTTCTGTGTGTTGTGCTGCTTTTCTCCCATTTTTTGTTTTTCTTTTTTTTTTTTTGAAAAGTAAAAGTAAATTTTGTAAAACATGCACATCATTGTTGACATGAAGACTTTGAAGTTACGATGTGTGTGCGTGCGTCATAACTTGCCTGCCAATGTTTGCTTGTGGGCTTTATTGTCCATACTATGTGTGTGAGTGTGTTGGCTAGGAAACGTGTTGGGCAGTAAACAGCCACAGGACAAGGACAACAAAGCATGTGGAAATATTGCCAAGCATTTATTGAATTGTGGTCGATAATTGTCTACAAATTGAAAAGCCCTACTTGTCAGAAGCTCACCAATTATGCTTTAAAGCGCCACAGAAATCTTTTCATGTTATTTCTACAGCTTCTTCTTCTTCTTACTCTCCACCTCTGCGCCTCTGCGCCCTGCTGACCAATTAAAGTAAACACCGAGAGCTTTGCTGGCTTCAAAATCGTGAAAATTCCCCTACATATTAAATGCAAATTTTAGACAACGACTACAAAGCCTAACAGAACACTTAGACCAGGCAGGCGCTGGCAGGCACATCCATTTAGTTGCCAGCGCCGTTGGGCGACTAAAAAATCGTCAAGCGTAAAATTATAATTAATTACAAAGTGGCAGTACACGTTCCAACACACTCACACGCACACTCTCACAGTCAGGCACGTATCTACTCATCAGTGTAGAGGTGCTTTTTGTCTCTGGCTGCCACTCGCAGCCTCGGGTGCTGCGGTCGAAGTGGAGTCAAGGCCTGACTAGTCCTTGCCTAACCAGCAGCGGGTATTTTCAACCGAACTATGCGTAGTATGAATATCCAGGAGCAATGCACCTATAAGCTGCAAGAAGTCCTTTAAATATTTTCATATTTGTTGCTCGGCTAATTGAACGCCAAGAAATGCGCATAACTCGTTTTTAGGTGAAAATGCCGATGTTATACAAAAAATTGAAACATTTTGTATGGAGTTTTTAGTTGAAAATGTTTGAAAGCCTATCAGTTGGTTAGTAAAACTTTTCCTTGATCATTTTTTGGCCTATGCAATAAATTGATATTTATTTGATTCGCTGATGCTTCAACTAGTATTTGTGTTCAATATACTTCAATTAAATGCTATCCTTCGCAACTTTTTCAATAATCTAGTGAAAATTTACTTCCGACATGGACGTGGAACTGCCAACCTGACGTGCCACCTCGCAACCGCTAACAACTCAGTCAACAAATTCCGCCCTGTACCCGGCTCAGTGCTTTGACAATTTCGCACCTGGGCCCAATGGACCTGCAGCTTTACACGCCTTGTTGAACCGTCGCAACCCCATGGCGGAAAAAACCACGTTTCTCTCGCCATTCCTCAAACAAAATGTTGCACACATTTTCCTAGTCCGCTGCATTCCTTTGTTTCATTGTTTTTGCAGACGTACATGTATTTTTCCGATTTTTTCGTGAATTCGGTTCAAAGTCCGCCACGCACAGTGGGTGTGCGATTGCGCCCAGTGATGGCAATGTAATTCAAATATGGACTGCATATTCGATTATCGCCGCTATTCTGGCATTTCAAAATGATATTGAAATATTTCATGGAACATATTTTGTGATTTTAACAGAAAGTTAATTAACTTTTAAAGTATTATACGATTTTTTGTTCAAATTTTTTAAAATATGTTGGACACAATTGTTTTTGATAGGATTTAAAAGCTATATCAAAGGTATCCTACCAAGCACAGATTTTAAATAAAGATAAGTATAAGAGGGGAAAAAAGATATCTTGTAGTGAGGAAAAATAACCGCAATTAAATTTATGGAAATCGGCCTTATTTTCCTAAGAGCCGCAAAGAAAAGCTTAATGAGTTTCTTTTTCTTAATAGTACAGAAAGCATTAACAGTTAGAAAACTACCAAATCAATCTTACAAAATACATAAATTACTCGCTATGTTCAGTTAATGTTAAATTATGTACTTTCTTAAATATATTTGTAAAATGAAGTAATTAACATTATAAGTTGAGCTAAACTTAAACTTTTGATGTGCCTTTCAGGATCCATTGCGGCATCTCTTCTTTGTTAAATTTTCTTCACTCTCGGAACTCTTCGAGATGGTTATTTCTGGGTGGCATAGGAAAGAGCTGTAGTTCAATATGAAAAGTTTTTGAAATATTTACAATGTTTATAAATGTTTCAAAACTTTCCATGCTAAACTACAGCCCTTAATAGTACCACCCGGATGCATAACTACTACCTCTGTCCGACACAGGACTGTTGCTTCCTGTCAAATCGATTAAACATCGATGTAACTTCAATTCGTAACTTTTCGTCACTAGTCGACCTTTATTTCTTCTGGTTTTGTTGTTTGGCACAAAAGTTGATTGTTTTTATACAGCAGCCATTGAGGCATTGAATAATTTATTTGAAACAATATGTTTTTCCTATTGACGTTTTGTCTACGGTTTAATGGACACGAGCTGACCTAAGCCCTCGGCTGAGGGAGGTGAGTGGGCGTTGAAGCGTTCACCCTGTGCGGCTGGCTTTTAATATTTTTCGAAAAATTTCCTTTCGTTATTCATGCATTTTATTTGATTTGCGGAGCTTTCATTGTGTTTTATTTGTGGTCGCATCATATACACACATGCGTTGATTTAAAATATGAAAAATTCAAATGTTATTTGACATATTTTTGTTTGGTTTTAGATTTTGTTGAGCTTTGTACTGTTGCGGTTTGTACTTGTTGGTGTCTGCGAACATTTATACTAAAGAGGTTTGATAGCTTTGACATTAAAGAGTATTGTGTAAAACAATTATTATTGTTAATAAAAAAATCTAATACATAAATAATAATTAAATGGCATGAAAAGGTTCAAAGAAAGCAAATGAAAGCAGCACCGTTTAAAAGAACCTTACTTTAATTAGTGTTGTCTTCTTTTTCAAATATATAGCTTAGCATCTGCTGCGCAAATACCCATAATTTATGTCTGAGTTCATTGGGGAAAAAATAAATAAATAAACCAAATTTATAAAGACATTTCAAAAGCAAGGACATCTTCGCTATACTTACATAATCTACAATTTGTGGTATTTTTTTAAAAGCGGTCTAAGCGCCAATAAAAGTATATTTAATTCCCAGTTTGAAATCTGCAGTCTCCTTACAATACAACAAACTAACAGTAAAATTGTTTGCCCACTAATTTGTCGAATTTAATAATATATTTAATGTTATTCAAATGAAATGTTCGATATAGAGTTAACATACACGAACTGCTTTGTGAATTACTTGTACTTTTCGAAGCGTATTTGAAAAATAAAACTAATTTGTATTCATGTTGTTTGATTGACAATAATTACTCTTATGTTGTCCTTCTCCATAACTGTCCGCACACATCAATATTTTTCTCTATGCTCATCTCTCTCTATTACAGCTTCTTTCCTCTTCTGTTTTCGCGAAACTTGTTCTTTGGCATACTCTACTCTTCATGGATGCCCACCGTTGTTTACTTTGCGGTTAGACACAAGAACTTAGACAACTTTGGCGGCGTACGCTGATGACAACGAAGATAATAGTGTCTGCCACCAGGGCGGGAAGGAGGGATGCTGATGGTGGTGGTGATGGTGGTGGTTGACGCTGAAAAGTATACACCACAAAATTGTACACTTTGTCAAGAGGGCTGGGGAGAAGCCGCGCTGATTTAAAGCGGCTTGCCATTTTGCTTATAGACTTAGTTCATTTGAGTGAAAAGCATTTGTTGGCAGCGCATACACTGAGCGAAACTGTTGGCTAACTTCTTTAGACAGCCAGCGCAGTGCTGCCAGCATTGCCGAGCAGTGCATAGTGGACGTTCTGGCAAGCGATGTAATGAATTTCGACATCAATGAAAACACAATCAACCAAAGTGGTTACTTATGGGCCACGTCAATGGGAGAGGGGGGTGAGTGTGAGGGGGGGGGGGGGGGGTGTCAGCGGAAAATGGTTGGGTGGAGCGGCATATTCATTTAAAATCTGCAACACTGCCCCAACGCTGGCATCCCTGGCATTGGTCTTGTTGCTGTTGGCTTGCTTTCAGACTGGCGATGGGGCGGAGGTTTGAGTTTGGGTTTTGGGGCTGGCGGTCGTCTGCTCTGAGGTTTTGGCATTGGCGTTGGCGTTGGCGTTTTTGAGCTCGTCCTCGCCGTACGTTGGTTGAATAATTAACGCTGGGACATGTAACCAAGCGAATGTCGTGCAGACTTCGTCGCCACCATTGAGCGCACGTAGCATGTAAATTGTTTCATTACCTTTTATTTTGTTGGGCTTTCACCAACAGCAACAACAACACCAACACCAGCCCCAGCGCAAGCGTCAGCGTCAGGGCTTAGTCGTGCTTTATGCCTTCTACCTTAACATTGTTTCATTTATTTATTTATTCTTTTTATTTTGCTTGCGTTTTTCTTTTAGCCGCAGCGCTTTAAGCCGCTGATTCTTGCTTCGCCTAGATCAGTATAGTAAGTAGGACTGTTTTCCTCAGTTAAAAGTAATTGAAATGCTCTGGATTTTTGGTGAGGGCAGCAGTCAGGTGCAAAAGCATTTAAATTTTCATCAGCACTGTCAAATAGTTTTAATGGCTTACATTAAGAAAAAGTGGACAATATACGTTAGAAGATTTGTTTAAATATATTGCAATTGATTGAAGTACATAAACTTTTTTAATGTAAAAGTTTGCCAGCAGACAGTCAACATGCACAATCATCGAAACATGTTAATGACTCAGCTAGGAATAGCACGTCTTAAATTTTGTGAAATATATAAACACTTTGAAGTATAAATGTGCAAACAGTACCTTAACATTACCAAAGTTTTATAAAAAATACTATTTTGCATGATTTTCTTCCTTTTTATGTTTGTCAGCAGACTTCCACAATTACTCAGTAATCCAAACTGTGATGGAAAATATCTTAATAGTTGTTATTTTTCTTGGATGAAATAAAAAGTGTAACTTATTTACATTAGCTATAAATAAAACATAAAAAATATAGTTTGGTAGTTTCCTATATTATTAGTATTACATCATTTAATTTTTTATACTTTAGGCGAACTTACGAATATATATTACATATTTTTCACTTCTTATCTATTACCTAAACAAAATAAAACCATTTGAGCATACAATGTTGTTCAAATTAAATGAAAGAGGTAATCATATTGTAGATACTCTTAGAAGAATATCAGCAGGTCGTTTTTATTAAATATTAATTTATTTCACGTATTATATTCTGGATTTACAAGACCAATGTTTGGTCAAACTGTTGAAACTCATTTCCGGTATCCTATGATATTTTTTTGTAAATTAAGTTTTAAATTTTGAAAAAAATGAAAATACTTTTTGATTTCCTTGTAGGTTTGAAAGATGGTAGCTTAGTACTTTATCGGCGCTTCCTAGAAGCCTTCCTAGTTCTAAAATACAAGGAAATTCTGTCGTATTTATAAATATGTGGGGTCATCGAACATCCCACAGAGACCGCTTTGTTAGAAGGAGCAAATGGTTGGGCCCCGTTCCCGACCACAGCTAGAATTCTCTAAATGCTTGGAAAAAAGTCGAAGGATGAATTGTTGATATCTGACTGACTGGCTCAGGTATGTCAAATGGAAAAATAAAATCTATGATTGCGTTTTACGAAAACTACTCTGATATGTATTTTAATATTGACACTTATTTTCCTTAACTTTTTTAAAATAAATTTAATTCAAAAATATTCACTAATATGACTTTATAATGATATATAGAAAGAAAAGTATTGCTTTGGACTGATTTTATGTAACTATGTGCAGCTGTTGGCGACACATGTGTGTATTTCAGACTTTGTTGGACCTTTTAAAAATCAAATCTCTATAGAAGCTCTAAAAACTTGTTCTTTGAAATGCTAAAGCAACTGACATAATTAGTTCGAAATGTTTGCGAGAAATATGTACTACACATATTCCGTCCAAGGAAAAACTACAAGTCCTACCTACACATGCATAGCTACACATACATACATACGTGTATGCACATGCATACAAATACATAAATGGATGTGTGGGTGCAATTAGCAGCAATCGAGAGCAGTTAGAAGTTGTGCAGAGAAGAAGTTTTATGTCCAACAACTCGTACCTAACCCACTTTCAATTCAATCAGCGAGGCTCTTGCTGGTCTGAGCAATTAGTGCAATTTAAAAGCAAACTTTTAACTGAAATGGCATGGAAGTTGGAGCCCGCCCAGCTCCGCTTTGTTCCGAAGAGGCGTGGCTGCGACTGGCATCCATAGATTGGTGCGAATCATTGGCCGGTAGATTGCAATTGCGGCCACTTAAGACAAATAACAATTAATTGGAGCTCGCATAGAGTGTGAACTATAAATAATACGAGTACGAGTGGGAAGGGCTTATAAATATAGTACACCATTCAGCGACAGCTAATAAATCTTAGATGGGGCACCATTACTCACCTACTACGTCTAGGAAGCCGACTTGACTCTTCATCGGATCCGTATTGATCTGGCACATATACCTGCAATAAACATTTATGGCTATAGTCCGTCTCTACTTGTATATGGTGTGTGCAGCTTGATTTGATTTCGAGCTCTTACCAGCCCTTGTCCGCTTCCTTCACATCACGTATACGCAATATCCAGGCACGTTTCTCTGCGTGAGTTATGCTCATGCGATGATTTTTGGTTATGACGTGATTTTGTATCGTTAGTATGGTCTGTGTATCGACACGTAGCCACGCAATCTGGCGAGAAGAGAGGGTAAAGTAAATAAACACAAATACATGAGTTTTCCTCTATGTAGCAAATGCTAAAATTGTAAAACTAAAGCGTAGAAACTTTCTTTCCATTCTCCACTCCACTCCTCTCCACTCTCTCTCTCTCTATGTGTGTGTCGCTAATGCCCGCGTAGCGTGGCTCGGTCCCATTTATTAGCCCAAAGACACAAATGTCGCATTTTTAGTAAACGTAACGTCAACTTTGGCCCGTTTTGGGTAATGTGTTAAACAGTTTTCTGGCTTCACTTCATTGAATACACAAAACTGTGTCACAGTTCGTTTAGTGGCAAGGTGTTGCCGGCATTTGGTGGGGCGATTGGGCAAGGTCTAATAAATAGTAACACTTTGTGGTGTGCTCCAAAAAAAAATCAATTACATTTAATGGCTTGCGAAATACTTATTGCAAAAATCATTTAGATTGCTTTGAAGAGGAGATTAGCAGCAGTTTTCTTCAGAGACATTGAGCTTTACCACGTTATTCTGGCATTTGAAACCAATTAGAGAGGTATTTTGGGGCGACTACGACTTGCTATAAATGCAAGCAACATCTTTTATTTTCTTCTAAGACTTAAATAGCTTTCTTGCTGATTTCTCTAGTAACGAATAAAAATTTGACTTTTACAGATCCCTAAAACTTCAGCGAATTGGAACGGAGTGGGATGACGATATCAAAATAAAAGCCGCATTCATGTCCTAAAAACCAAAATTTGTTTTCTATATCCGATACAGCATATTAGTACTATTTAAGCAAACATTTCTGGAAGCCAATATTATTTATTTGGTGAGAAAAGACTCTCCATACCAATGCATTGGTTAGTTAATTATTTAATCGAAAATTGTTCAATACAGATGTTTTTATTACAAACTTAGCTCACAGAAATGCTTCGGAATTGAAATATTGCAGCATTTCATCAGTTAATAGCAAGAATATAGTGTTGTTTAACCGAACGATCTTCTCTTAGAGACCATCTTGCACCCCAAACCCAGGACCTTTGGGCTCTTCGTTCAACGATGTAAGCTTGCCTTTTGGCTCGCTAGCAAAGCGTCCACTGCGTGGACCTGGTGCCGCTATTTTACCGGCCTTGAGATCGTCTAAGATCTCCTGCATGTCCTTAGCTGTTAGATCCTCATAGAAGTCATCATTGATCGCTACCATGGGGGCATTGACGCAGGCGCCCAAGCACTCCACCTCCGAAATGGTGAACATCTTGTCCTTCGTAGTCTCGCCGGGCCCAATGCAGAGCTGCTCCTTACAGGTCGCCATAATCTCGTCGGAGCCGCGCAACCAACAGGGAGTGGTGGTGCACACCTGTATGTGATATTTGCCCATCGGCTTGCGCATGAACATCGTGTAGAAGGTGGCCACCTCGTAGACCCGCATGTTCGGCAATCCCAATATCTCGGCCACCTTGTGCATGGCCGATATGGGGAGCCAGCCGTATTGGCGCTGCGCCAAATCTAGCAATGGAATCATCGCACCACGCTTGTGACCCTCCGGGTAGATACTGAGTATGGCCTCAACTCGCTTCTTATTTGCAGCCGTAAACTCGAAGGGTATATTGGGATTATCTTCAGGAGTGTCACGATGCACGAACAAATTTTCGCTGCTCCTTGCACAGCTGCTGGTGATGGCGCGCAGTCCACTACGAACGCGGAACAGCAAACGTTTCAAGGAAATGTGAATCATTTTGCGTGGAAACAAGTCACAAATATATATACTCGTCTATTCGAATTGCTAAGAATTTTCAGTAATTTTTGAGCAGTCAGGTATGCTTCTTTCTTTAGTTTAAAAGTTTAGTCAAATGGGAGCAATACAGTGTTCGAAATATTTTAGCTGCTCAAGCGCGTTTTAGTGATATCCAACACTGGTGCTAAATTAATGCTTGTCAAGTGCTTCCCAACACTGTTTGATAAAATAACCAATCTAGGACCTTTAAATCAGGTCTAACTATCACATGTGATATTTATATCTTAACGGGGTTGGAAATAAAAGCAAAGCACATTTGAAAAACTTGTTGTTGGCTCACCAATGTAGCTTTAATATTTGAAAAGGGACAACTTCATTAACTCAGCCTAAAATAATGCTCCCTCAAACGGTGGGAATTACATTTTGCAACTCAGAAAACAAGCCTTCAAAAACTGGACATCTTGTGAAAAAGACATATTGCAAACATCATTAGTGCTGGGTATCATATCGTTTCATATTTATCACAATTTAAAAGTGCGATAAGTTGAAAGCAGGCCATCCACGCTGGATGGCCATCTACACTGGATGGCCTGGTTGGTGTATTTCTCGTTTCAGTGGAGATGAGAGTCAATATTGTTGATGTCCCTTTGAACTCTGGATGCGGGTCGTTCTCTCAACTGTGTGTATTTTTGTTACCTTTTGTGCCAAATTCTGAGTATTCCAGAATGAATAGCGTGTTTTTGTCTGCTATACGGTCTGGCATACTATTAACTTGGCACACAACTCTGTCGTCTGAATAGTGTGCGTTTTCAGATTGCGAGCTACTACTACTTGTATGTGCGGAAATATCTGTATGAGTGGCGTTTAATTTGATCACTGGGTGGCGAGGTTGTGCACAAAGTACTTCGTTTTCCAGCGAACAAATAAACGTGGCTCGCCAGTTACCATCAAATATTATTATTCGAATGCTGCCCCGAACGCCCAAGTTTTAAGGTGGAGATATTGGTGTCTCTTACTCAACAGGAACGGTCGAGGACATCATTTTCGCTAACCGGGCCGATGAAGTGTGATCATTGATTGGCATCAACGAACAAAAAATTAGTCGCATGGCCCCCAAAACATATGCCTCATAATATTGGAGAGCGAAGCACTCTAGTCGCCTAACGATATCATCAACGGCAAGGGGCTGTGTATTTTCAATTTATTGCGTGCGTTTTCACTTTCCTGCTTACCTTTTTGTCCAACCAATCCGCCTAAAAGCTGACTAACAATAATTTGCGCCTTGGCATTTCTATTTTGGGCTTGTTCGGCATAACTTTTCGCTATTCATTCGACCCTTCCTCCCCTCTTTCCTTCTGTGCCGCAATGGGTCACGAAATCAAAGTAGTGCCAAGGGGTTTGGAACGTGCCTGCCCCGGGGGCACGAACCCAAGTGAAAAACCCAAACAAAAGGGTCAACAAAATGGCACGCATTATGCGTTTTACGAGCACACGCTTACAAATTCCCTACTTCCATCCCCCAACACCTGCACTGCCCTACACCCCCCACAAACTCAATTTGATGAAGTGTAAATTGTGTGTCTGACAGTGCATATTTCCATTAGCGGCTCTCGAGCTCGTGCCTACCATCTGGTAGGCAGGCAGCAGGTGTTGGCAGTTTAATTGTTCGAATCGGCGAAAATATTAGCGACAGCCTACATTTTGGGAGCACGCAATCCCCATACACGACTTCGTTTCTAACTTACCTTGTAAGTTTGCAAATTGTCGACGACGCATTGCAAAACGGCTTCACGTCCTACCGGCACGGTGACGTTTTGCAGCAGCTCTCCAAACTTTGGTAAATCTGTAAAGAAAAGCAGAGAAAGTATTACTTGGGAGTGGAAACAGAAACAGTAGCAGACTACGAATGAAGATTCATTCTTAAGCTGAAGTAGAAATAACCGCAATACCGACAATGAATTATTTTTAAAACCAAAAACTTACGTGTCTCAACATTCATTTCGAAGTACAAAATCACTTAGATTAATAACATATACTGTTAGTATTTTTATTGGAATGAATTGCCAAGGAGAGGAAATGACCCTAAATTATGATGATTACATCCAATTTGAAAACCAATCGCTTAGTGAGTTATCTAAGATTCATACTGAACATTGTTTTACTCTGGTAAAGCTGAATAATATGTAATCTAATCGAAAACAAGGTACATATTAGAGTGTTTCTTGTGTTGATAGATCGAAACCTCTATATATACCTTATCTTTGATTGGACTAATGTGGTAACAAGTGAAATCTAGTAGCTTTCTGAGTGATAACAATCAAGTCAATCTTATCTTAGAATAGTGGAGCTTAACTTTTAGTCACTGATCGAGTTATGATCCTCAATTCTGCGATAATGCGACTATTCACTGCGAGATCGAGACGGCTTCACAAGACGAAGATGCCAGGCAACCCCAGTTGTCTTAGAATAGCCGAGCTTAACTTTTTACCCGCAATGAAGTTGAGAGCATCTATTCTACGATAATACGACCTTGAACAGCAAACCAGTAGGATGTTTGTGAATATATATTATAATAAATTAAACAACTTTATTGGAAATACTGGGACGGAGTATACATAAAAAAATCGACACTGCCATTCGAACAACTAATTTTTCTTCTTTTTTTTCGGCACCTTACGCTTTTTGGGGGTGCCCTTGGCTTTAAGTTTGGCTTTGGGCGCCTTCAAAGTACTATCTGTGGGCTCTACTTTGATTCGTATTGGTTGTTCCCATGTGAGATCAATTGTTTCCATTTGGCAAAGGGGGTGCACTTCGGGCCCTTTTCTACGGCCACCGTTCGCTGGTGGTTTTTTCCTGACTGCCTTGGTCCTTGGTCTGGGTCTACGTTTCCCTTTCAGCTGTCTACTCACTTTAAGAGCGGGTCTCGTTTTGGTTTTCAAGGAAGTCTTCTTTAAGCTCTGGCGCTGCATTTGTCGAGTCTTTGGCTGCTGTTTTCGCACACGCCTATTCTTTTGCACTTCATTGCGTATATTGGCCAGACAGTTGGGAATGAGTCTTAGCCTTGGCTGCGGCAGGGACGGCTGAGTCTGCTTGGGAACAACTTTCAGTTCGAGGACCGCATTTATTCCATACTTACTTCACGTTCGTAGAGCTTGCGCTGTTGGTGGGACAACGTTTGCCAAGCATCTCGGGAGTATCGAATGGCTGTCTCCAGACTCATATTGTTGATAACGCAGAATTCGCGTATGAAATTATAGAACTGTGATTCAGTGGCATCGTTGGGCTTAAAGCGGGCCACGTCAGGCAATAGGGAGCCTTTTAAGCTCATAGGTATGGGTTCGGGGGCGCCCTTTAAAAAGCTGAACATTTTCAAATTAACAACTTTTTTCTTTACAACTCTTGAATTTTGATGGTGTTCAAAAACGAATGAACAAATTTGTAATATTTGTTCAGGGCTTCCTATGACTGAATATTCGATTTTTTGGATTTCTAGTGCAAAAAATGTTTAGGTCTGCAAAGAGTATTGAGTATGGATATACTATATATATTGATATTTAGCAGAAAAAGTGAAAGGGAAAAATACAAACAATGCATACAGAGTGCAGCATCCTTAGGTATTTAATGAGAATCGAAGTAACGAAACAGAAATATTAAATTATCGAAAATGAAATATCAATTATCCAAAGCGATGTATCGAAAAAAGATGTCCTCCAAACTATCTTTTAGTGATATAGCTGAAAGCATTGAATTTGGAATCAGAAAGTTTGAATGTGTAAAGGAAAGCCGCACTTTGAAATTCTCAAAATAGGTTTATACGAAATTAGTATTAGTATTTACTCACATACTTAGTTATTTACTAACTGAAATTTAATCAACTCCATCGTCTGCTAAGCTTATTCTTCAGTCCCTCAGTCTAGGAACGATATCGACAAAACAATACACTAATGCCTCGTACTCGAGTGCTGAGCCAATGTGTATGAGTTACTCTATAGCTTTGGCCTGAAGTCACTTGACTTACCCGACAAACAACCCGTTAAGTGTCTTTAAGCCCCCCAAAACAGTCAATCAAGTCAACACAATTGCTCAACGGAGCGCTCAAAGTGTTGACTTTAAACACGCCCGCAAGTATGCAACAGATTTGCGGTCTTTCGAGCATGAGACTTTAAAACTTTGCCGCCTACTCTTGTGTGCCGCTTTGTTTGTTGTTTCATTTGTTTGCCTCACCATGGCGCTGACATGTGAGAGCAGCGGCTCAACAAACTTTGCGTTGCGCATACGCGACATGGGCGGCAAGAAAAAAAGAGGAACAAAAATAAACATAAACGACGCTTCACATATGCGGGGCACGCGTCAGTTAAAGGAAATCAACACATAACAATCTTGTACTTAAAATGCGTAAACAAAGTGATAAGCGCTGAACAGAGAAAGGGTCCTGGCAGGAGGCGGGGTAGGCAGAAAAGCGGGAGCAAGGCCAAGTGAAAGTTAAGTCCAAAATGTTTTCTGATGTTTATTGATCAACCCTGGTAGCTGTCAAAGTGACTAGTCGACTTTTTATTGTGCGCTCCGTGAAAAATTGTAATAAATTCCTCTTTTTCAATTATTTCGCGTATAGTGCGTTAAAAAAAAAAAAAAAAAAAACCACCCGGAAACCTAGTTTCACCTTGGCTTTTTGGCAATCGTTTAGTATCCTTATTTTCTTGGATTCCAATCAACAATTAATCTGCTGTATGGGGCTGCTCTGCTGACGTATACACGTCATCGGAGCAGAGACAGCCCAGAATTTTTCTTCTTTGCTTGTTTTGCAAGTCATCTTATCTCACGTAAATGAATGCTGATGAAGACTCGGCCGCTCTCGGAGCAGCTGAGGAAGTAGTCAATAAGCTGCCGAAGTACGTGGAGATGAGAAAAATTTCTGGTAAATCACCTTCGGAGCTGAGAGCAAAAATAACCAAGGACTTGCATATGTCAATGGGAAAACCATACTTAAAGCCGTCAATCTCAACCAGTAACTGGATTGCCTCAACCACTTGTACATCGACTACAAGTACCCTAACATTTTCTGTGGTGAACTCTCAATCAATGTATACTACAGTAGCGACATCAAATGGCAGTTTGTGCTCCACACCCGCCGTTGTGAGTACACCGGCTTCAATCACAAACTTAGTTGCAAATCCAACTCTGGACAAATTTTGCTCGTTTCAAATGCCAGTACCCGGTATTAATAGGAAGCGGAAAGGAGCCGTCGAGTCACTAAAATCGGCTCAAAAAAATAAGCCAACTCCTGTCAATACAACCCAGGGACAACGAACTGCGTCCTCCTCTCCGCCAGCGCTTCAAAATAATAGATTTGCAGCCCTTTCGGAAGAAGCTGATTCCATTATGGAAATGGAAGAGCCAGATTCCGAAGATCCATCGAGCCAGCAAAATGAAGCCAGCCGTTTCCAGCAGGGAAGTAGTATTCCTAAGCCTCCTGCTATATGTGTGCCACAAGTCAACAAATTGGATAAGCTGGAGGTGGCGCTCAATTCTGCTGTCTCCCCTAACGATTACGACATACGCACATCGAAATCTGGGATCTCGCGTATTTATACGAAGAATTCGAATGCGTTTCGTGCAATAATCAAATTATTGTCCAATCAAAATTGTCAATTCTGGCACCACCAGTTGAAGGAGAACAAACCCTGCAGATTGGTGCTCAGAGATATTCATCCCAATGTACCCAGGCAATTAATAGAGCGCACCTTTACCGACAAGGGCTTTACAGTTTTGAATATATATTGCCCCAGAAAACCGGACTGGCGTAACATTCAAATTAATGAGGAGGATGGTGAGGACATAAATAATGTTAAAACAAGACAAAATATGTTTTACGTTAACCTCCAGAACGCACCCAACGTTGCTGAGGCACTAAAAATAACTCAAATTGGTAGACACAGGGTTACAATATCAAAGGCCAAACAGAGTAAAGAGCTGGTACAATGCTTCAGATGCCAAGATTTCGGGCACACGAGGAACTATTGCCTTAAAAAGCCGGTTTGCGGTAAATGCTCGGGGGACCATGATACTGGCTCAAAATCATGTAACCTGAATGATAATGGGGAATTTATATGCGCTAATTGCGGCGAAGACCACATGTCGAGCTTCAGAGGCTGCAAGGTAAGAATTGATCTAGCCAAAAAACTTAAGCCAGCTGTGAGGTTGCCGAAAGATGGACTAGTTATCGGTAGCAATAGGAGTTACCCAAATAACCAAGGCACTAAAGTACAGTTTATCTCAAACTCTACTGTTAAGAGTGGCTTCTCTTATGCTGATGCAGCTAGGCCAATTGGAGAAAAACGTACCAGCGCGCCAACAAACCAAAACTCGCCCCGATCACACAGTTCCGCCGAAGATTGGCATCTAAACAACAAATTTAGTATGCTGGAAAAGGCGATTTTAGATCTAAACGCAAGAATGGATCAAATGTATAAGCTCATACAGGAAAATATGGATTCCAATAGAGCCTTCCGTGACTTGGTACAAAAACTAATATCCAAATGTTAAATCCGCTGTTAAAAATCGGATTATGGAACGCACGGGGCCTGGTCAAAAACAATGATGAACTCAGGCTTTTCCTAAGTTCAAACTCGATCGATATCATGTTAATAACCGAAACGCATATGCGTCCTGGCTTGAACGCATATTTGCCAGGATACGACCAGTACTACGCTAATCATCCTAGTGGCACCGCTAAAAGTGGTTCTGCAGTCATCATTAGATCAAGTATCGCTCATTCACAGAATGAGCCAATTCTAAAAACAAGCATCCAAGCGGCCAGCGTAACTTTACCGACGAATGGTGGAAGCATCAAAGTCTCCTCCCTATATCTTCCTCCCAATGAAGCTTGGTGCAGGGCCGACTTTGATCTATTGCTTGCAACCTTAGGAGATAAGTTTATTGTAGGCGGTGATTTTAATGCAAAACACCAATGGTGGGGTAATTCCAGATCTTGCAGGCGAGGAAGGTGTTTGCAAGAGGCCATAGCTAGTACTACTTGCCAAGTTCTTGCTACTGGAGAGCCAACTTTCTACTCTTACAACACACGGCTTAACCCCTCTGCACTAGACTTCTTTATTGTCAACAGGATTGCCCTAAACAGACTCACCGTTGAAACAAAATATGAGCTCGCATCGGATCACCTTCCAGTAGTAGCGACGCTACATCATGCACCGCAATATAATCCCAAGAGGGAATATATTCTACCACCTGGCTCCCGTATTGATGTTTTTAAAGCCGATCTCGAAAGAAGAATTAACCTGAACGTCGAAATTAACAGCCCAGAGGATATCGAAGACGCGATATCAATCCTCATGAAGAACATTTCACTGGCTGCGTCTTCTGCTGCACCGAAAACTTTACGCTTGCCAACCCAACATAGTCATGCTAGTCTACCACCAACGGCTGCTGCGCTCTTAAGCCTGAAAAGAAGAGTCAGGAAAGAATATGCAAGAACTGGAGATACTCGCATTCATCAAATCTACAAAAGACTGTCCAATCGACTGCAAAAAGAGCTTGCTAAAATCAGACAAGGCAGAATTGATGACATATTGGAAAGTGCTGGTCCAGATGCATCATTTAATTACTCGCTCTGGAAGCTTACGAGGCGATTTAAGAGGCTGGTCATCCCTAAGACTCCAATTAAGGATCCTACAGGTGGATGGAGCTACTCCAGTCAGCAGAAAGCTGAAATCTTTGCAAACAGCCTAGAGGAAAGATTTAAGCCTTTTGACTTTACAACAGCAGATAGGCGAAGGGTAGTCGAGCTTAGGCTGGAGATGCCATTCCAAATGGCCTTGCCTGCAAGCCCAGTTACACTTCAAGAAGTGGTACAGCAGATAAAAAATCTAAAGGTAAAAAAAGCGCCTGGAGAAGACCTTTTAGACAACAGGACGCTGAAACTGCTCCCCACAAGGGCTCTGCTGTATATTGTCTTGCTCATGAATAACATACTCAGGCTGAGGCACTTTCCAAACTGCTGGAAAATGGCGCTAATTACGATGATTCCAAAGCCAGAGAAACAGCATACTGAAGTAGATGGATATAGGCCGATTAGTCTGCTACCTGCCCTCGGGAAGATGATGGAACGCGTGATTCTGGACCGGATTCTCCAGCTCGAAGCCGTGGCGCGCAGAATTCCAAAATGGCAATTTGGTTTTCGAAGAAGTCACGGAACACCGGAACAGCTCCACCGTGTGGTCAACTTCGCCCTGGAAGTGTAACGGGTATAGGACATATCCCAGTAGAGTAGGCGAGATGGTGTGTGTATGTTGGAGAGCGCACGCTATATGTTCCGGCTCGGGCTCGTCGGCTAGTGGGTGGTGTTCGAGGTCTCTCCAATCATACGGCCTTTCATTAAGCTTATTATTTAAAGTTAAAGCGTGCTGTGGGGAA